CACTTAAATCTTTCGCTAAATCGTTGAGGGTGTCTAGGACATCTGTGTCCCCGTCAATTGTGTTAATTATATTTTTGGTTAATCCGTGAGTTTTTTTTTTTAAGTCCATAATATTTTTACTGTTGTCTGCGAGGAGCGCTTGGGCTTTTCTATCACTTAGTGGTTTGTCAGCCTGTTCCGGGGATTGCTTACTTTGATGTTTTGCTTGAGGCACAGTGTCACTAGGGGGCGGGTTATCTGCCTTTTTCTTTCCTTGTTGGTTTTCTTCTTCTAGTTCTCCTGTGTTCGTTTCTCCTTTGTTCGTCTCTCCTGTGTTCGTCTCTTCTATGTTCGTTTCTCCTATGTTCGTCTCTTCTATGTTCGTTTCTCCTGTGTTCGTTTCTCCTTTGTTCGTCTCTCTTGTGTTCGTCTCTCCTTCGTCTGACTCTTCTTTGTCTGCCCGTGCTTCCTCTTCTTCCTTTTCTTCAATTTCGTCTTCTTCATCATCCCCATCATCATCATCTTGTTCTTCTTGTTCTTCCTCCTCCTCCATGTCGATTTCGTCGTATTCTTCTTCTTTTTCAGATGCTGCATCGTTCACTTCTTCACCTTCCTGTTCCTCTTCTTCTTGTTCCCCATGGTCTTTGTCTTCGTTACCCTGTTCCTCAATTTCGCTCAGCACCTGTTCGTCATTATCGACTTCAATGTGACATTCTTCGCAGTACTTTTCCACAATTTCTATAATTTTGTGTTTTTTCTTTATGGCTGATTCTTGTGCGATTTTTTGTGCCTCCTGTTCGGCATCTTTCTTGCGCTCCTCCTCGTTCTGTACGACCTGGTGTATGTCCCCGACATTTGGGATACGTGTTTTCTTTAGGACGTCGTCTGCTTTTTGTCTTGCAGAATCCATGGCAGCTTCCCATTTGTTTAACGCTTCAGCCTCTTGTTCGGCATCTTTCTTGCGCTTCTCCTCGGCGTCGTCCTCTGCGACCTGGTGTATGTCCCCGACATGTGAGACGCTGTTATCGTTATCCCCTTGTAATTCTTTTGGTCCTTCTCCTATTTCATTATTTGATGCTACTGTCGGTATAGGTGTTACTGCATCTGCTCGTGGTGACGGCGTTGTCCCGGATAATGGCAATGTTACGGGTGGTAGTGCTGCTGATTCTTCTCGACTATTCTGCTGTTCCACATCTGGTCCTTGTAGTAGACCATGTTCCCCATCATCCTTACCGTCATCACTGTCATCATGCCCATCATCATCACCATTGCCCTGGGTAGTAAATTTGTCCCCCTCCCATCCATGTCTTAAATGAGGATTCTGGAAATTAATAATTTTACCCTCTGTGGTTCCATAATTTGGGGACATGTATAAATTTACGAAGTGTACAAAAAGGATGGTGTTGACACATTGCCTCATTCTTTTGACATATATGTTAACAAGTTGGGGCACTTTTAAATAATTCCAACAAAATGAGGAATAAAAAGAACAAAAAAAATTGAAAATAAATTAACGATAGTTCAGTGATCTAATTGGGATAAGTTTGCACATTGACAAAAAATATCTCAAAAGGGGATTAATATTTGAGTTTCCAATTTATGTACAATTTAGTT